CTGCTGAACTCTTTTCTTGGAGCTCCCAACGCGGAAGATGCCCACCGTTTGGAGACCTGGGAGACAGACAGGTTAGTGCTCTGCATTTCCACGGCTCCCCGCCACCCCAGTGAGTCATTGGAGCACCTCAACACCATGGATGTGGTTCTCACCCCAACTGGTCATTGGAGCACCTCAACACCATGGATGCGGTTCTCACCACAGCTGGTCATTGGAGCACCTCAACACCATGGATGTGGTTCTCACTCCAAGTGGTCATTGGAGCACCTCAACACCATGGATGTGGTTCTCGCCCCAACTGGTCATTGGAGCACCTCAACACCATGGATGTGGTTCTCACCCCAGCTGGTCAATGGAGCACCTCAACACCATGGATGTAGTTCTCTTTGCACTGCACGCAAGGCCGCATGTTGTTCCCTGCTCCTGGCAGAGGGGGTGCAAAGGCAGGTTTGGGAGCCGTAAGATTTTCTGGGGTTGATTGTCTGTGGGCCAGGGAGGAGGACTCCCCGCTACAGTCACTCTGAGCTAGATGCTGGATTTGCTGGGGGGGTCGAGGCCAGAGCCCACCAGGAGGTGGGTGGCTGATAGGCATGGTGACGTTCACTTCTCAGCCCGGGTGCTACACCCAGCCCAGAGGACTCATCCTGGGTGGCTTTTTGGGAGCGTGCTCTGCCCCGGGAAGCAGCTGCCTCCTCCCGTCTCGGGGGACGATCAGGCCGAGCTGCCCCAGCCCACCACGTATGATGGGTGTTACCGTCACTGGAGAGCCGTGCGCATTTACCGTGTGTTTCGATGTGTTTGCAACATCTGTCCACAATCCGCGGGACCTGCCAGCTGATGGGGTTGAGGCTCAACATCTTTTTCTTGCCCAGGCTTCTCCGCGGATCCAGCTCATGGGGGTGCGACAACTGCAGCGCCTCCAGCAGCTTGGAAGTGTTGTCACTCAGGTCAGTGATGGAGTCCACAGACATTGCCCCCTGCGATGGAGCAGAGGGGGCTCACAGGGTGGTAGCAACTACCCCGCAAGGTCCCAGTCCACCGGCATTGCCGTGGCCGCAGAAGTTTGTGGGAAAGGGAGGCGTCACCCCCAAGCAGACACAGAGTTCTGCAGAGCCTGTCCGGGGCCGCAAGAGAGACCCTTCATCTCCCCGGCATCCCCCGGCGTGCCCTGCCCCTAGCCTGCGGTGCTTCCAAACGAAGCCTTCCTGCTGGGGCGGACCCCCCGCCATGCACGGGTGCGGGGAAAGAGGAGACCCCCCCAAACCAAACACCCCCAAACCTTTCCCTTTGACCGTGCGAGGTACCCGAGCTGGAGCTGCTCCACGCTTGGAGGCAAACCAAGCCCAGCCCCACAGCCGCCTCCCCTCTGCCGACAGCCCAGCGGCGCAGCCGATGTCCCCGCAGCGGTGAGGGGGTCTCTCCCCGCCGCGCAGCCAGGGCGCCAGCACGACCCACCACTGCTGGCCACAACTTCTGGTGGGAATTTTTGCAAGCGCGAGGCCCGGTCCCCGACCGCGACATTGCCAAAAAGGCGATGCTGCTTCAGGGAGAAGCCGCGCCCGTTCGCAGCACTGCTCACCGAGATGCGACGCAATGGGGTAGAAAAATGCATGCCATGGAGGACGGATCTCCTCCTGTCCCCATCCACCGCTGGCTGCCTGGCCGTGTCCTCCTGGGAACCTTGGCTCCCGAAGAGCTGGGCTGGTAGAGCCTGGCCCACCCCCCAGCCCATCTCCCGGGGGAAGCAGGGGCACCCCAGTTCCCCAAGGGCAGCCGGGACGGACCCAGCACGCAGCAGCAATAACTCACGTTTCGTTAAAAAAAGACCCCGGGGAACCATATTTATTGCTGACGTCAGAGCCTCCCCCAACCCGCAGCACCACCACAGCGCAGCCCTTTTCTGCGGTCGTACCCTTCGCCGGCTCCGGAAGCTGTTGTCAAGAAAAGTTGGGGAAAGCGGCTCCTCCGGGAAGACGCCGCAGGGAACCAGGCCACAGCTCCTGCCCGGCGGGGACTTCTTCTGCCTCTGAGCCCGAAAGCTCGTCACTGTCGCCTCCACCTCCAGGCAGAGCCGGCGGCTCGTCCTCACCGCTTTCTGCCGCCGCTTTCGG